TATAAAGTCAGCACAAGTCTGACATCAGATATTATGAGGACAAGTTGTACTTACTCAAGATCTTCGATTACAAAACGAATAAGTGGACGTTCTGTGGGTGTATCCGATGTATCAGACATATGAACTCCACTTTGAAGTTTCTGAACAAAAGTGACAATCCCGAGAACTAAGTTTTAAAAATTTATTTATAAGTTAATGAGATAAACCAAGATAATAACATGCATATAGGAAACTTACCAAGATATCGGTCAGTTTGAATCGACGCAAGCAAAATATCTATGTATGCACAGAAAGAGTATATTTTTCTGAAAGACTTCGGATCGGTTTTCTCAGTGATTGTATCCTCGTTCAAACGTATATGACAGTTGTTTGATGATATGCTTGGATGGGGTAATCTGTCGGTAACTGCAAAATTACCAAGAAAATACCACTCTCCTTCAAGCAATACATCATCAAATTTGTTAATTATTTCAGATGGCATGGTACAGAGGATGCGATTGTCCTACACAGTTTCAGTAAAAAAGAATCAATAAACGATTACATTCCCAAAACATGAACAGGGATAAATTTTAAAAATCTTACAAACTTACAAATTCATCAGCGAGAACTAACTTCCGATGAGGGTAATGAATGTTAGTGAAATCATAATAATTTCGAACAAGTTGGACACAAATACATTGCCCGCCGTTTATCTTCTGAAGTTCAGAAACTCTATTACATGGAGCCATTCGTTTTTTTTTTGTTTGGAGATGAAAAATGAGACAAATGAACGTTTTTTTATAAGACGGACTCCACAAACGGTTATTATGTTTTAAAACGCGGGTTTAATATACTTTAGAAACGACGGTTTTGCTTTTAAAGATGGGTTTTAAATACCTATGCAACGATTCAGGCTTAATATACTTTTGAAACGACGTTTATGCTTTTAAAGACGGGTTTTATATACTTAAACTACGTTTCGCTAAAAATAACAAAAGTAAATGACAATTGATTCAAATGTGAACTTAAATAAATATTTAAGAAACGATTTGACAAACTGTCCTTTGATTGTCCTCAAGCAAAGTGAACAAATGAGAGAAAATTTTTTAATGTATTGGAGTTCATATTACTTAGAGAAAGAGTGTATCACTATATGACATCAATTATCATTTGTCTAAATACAATGTTCCAGATAAATAGAATAACCCTAAAACTAATAAGAAACAATGTCTATAAATTATAATAGTAAATATTGAAACATTATAGTATATTACAAAAAAACGAAAACCTGCAAGCTTTAAATTCAGATGATACAGCCTTATTAATTTTAAATATTTTGGATCTTCGTAATAGAAGATCTTGGTAAATCATACTTGAAACCACAACCCTTAATTGTTTTCGGTTCATTAGTCCAAAATCGAATAATTACAAATTTCTAAATAAATAAACGTTAGAATAGTTATATAATTTTTGGGTAATAATATTTGAATATTCGTATGTTTTTACAATTTGCTAGTGTAACATGCAACGGTCTATCAACTGATAGAATATTACTTTTCAATGCAGAATAAAGCAAATCAATCTGTAATAATTTTTGCATGAAATAACTTTGACAGGGGAATCTAATTATTTATAATCTTTGGCAAGTTCAACTGACATAATTATACCGCCTGAAAAGTAACATTGTGATATGCACTATTTATAATTTTATGATTATTCGTTCATACAATAATATTTTGATTTATCTGTATGTATTTTTTCTTTCAACGTAGTTTGTAACCACGTAATAACAACGTTGATATCAAGATTTCCGGTGATTTCTTTCTTAGTGTTACGCACAAATCTGATCAATGTCATAGCCAACACTGAGATATTATGTAAATTTTTTTTAATAACTAAACACTAAACAGAGCCTAGATTCTAAGATAAAAAAATGTGTTTATTTATTCTGTTAATAAGAATAATGAAAAACTCTTTTATACGCGTGTTTAAGGATGTAGTCTTTAGAATTTTAAACTAATAATTTTGGTACGTATGAGTTTAATAATTTTAAATAGTTACTAATAATTTTCCAAAGCGCTAAACCTTAAAGATGAGTAAAATGTATAGTTTACAATTATTTCCTAAATGGCTAAATATTGAAAATTTTAAATTTTATTATTTGCGTGTAAATATGTGACCATTTTGGGTAAATAGATTCCAGTCAATATTTTTGGCACATAAGTTTACTTTTCTATTTTGTATAACTACCAATAACTACTAAATTTCTAGATTTTCATATGTACTATTTCTTCATATTAAAAATATGTAATTTATTTAGATTCACATTTTTTATAACGATACAAGTATGTAAGATTTATAAGATAAAATCTTCTAAGGTTACAGAAAATATGATAGAGATATAGATGAATCTTTCAAATTAATGTATATCTGGTTTAACTATTAATTATTATGAATACGAATGTAGTGTATATATGGTTTAACTATTTCTTTCTAAAGTTAACTAATCAGATATTTTAGAGCAGATTATATAAATAACAGCAATTAAACTTTTTAGATTAAAAACAACATAATTATTTAAACGCAGTACCGAGTTTAAGTTAAAATATAAGTAAACATAGTAACGATAACATCACACCATTAAGTCTTAAACATATGATAAGAGAAATACGAAAACGATAAACTAATAGAACCGCCATTTATGCAAGTCACATTCCATGGTTTCCTGCATCCTCCATTCTCTTCTTTATCCTTTCCCAAATCATATCCACTATATTTATATATAAGTATAATATTAGTTAAATAAACGAAATTTTAAGTAACCAAAAGTTTCTTATACTTACTTCCTATGGTAGATGAGAACCTCGTCAATAGGTGGAGTAACAAAGAAACATGAGAAGCCAATATTCTCATGATCATGGATGGTTATTTCATCTAAAATAAAAGTCAAGTGAAGAAATCAGAATACAAATATTTCTACGTTTAATTATTTAGGTTATTTGCATGATATAAAACCTCATTAAAATTTATAGATCACATACCTTGATATTTGTTGACGACCCAATCCGTCAATACACAAATCGCAACCGGACCATCTACGCCTACAGTCTGGTTCTTGATATCAACAGCGAAATCACCATGAGCCAAGCAATTAACAGTCCGATCCCTTTTTCAAAATTAAAATTAATAATTGTTTTTCTCATTATTTATCATAATTTATATGAGTCAAACTTAAAATATTCTTACTCAAGATTCTTGATAGTGCACTTCAGCGTTTTTTCAGTATTTCCATTTGAGGACTCAAATGTTAAGAGTTCACCAACATTTACCAACACTCCAATAAGATCTCCAAAAAATAAAGTACTTTGTTAGCTATGCATGGATAAAATAAAATAAATTTAAAACAACTAAACTATTATAAAACATTTATCGGGTTTCGGTTTTTAAAGAGTGTAAATCAAAATCATACCGACTGGGTACAAGTGATTATAGGGACGATTATAAATCTCATCAAAATCAACGAAATTCATGAAGAGATCTTCAGAAAATGGCCTGATCCGTGAAGCCTTGGTCTCCGAGTTGAGAGTGATCTGGGATTTGTGTTTAGTAACTCTTTCCTTCCTTTCCCAATCCGACCGA